TTTGGTAACGCATCCAACTCGAGCCCACTGGCTCTAAAGAAGCGCTTCCTCGAGGCGATAGCGGTCACGGTCACGGTCACGGTCCCAGCGGCGCGCAGAGTCTCGTGAGCCAACTAGAGTTGGGGTGAAGCCTCTGGACACTCGGGATCTGCAGAAGGTGCACCCCAGGGGCTCAGTGTTTCCAGTCCACCGTGATCTGCACCCTGCAAGATCCCAGCCAGGCCTGTGTCTTCACAAAACCTCCGAGACCCGCTCAGGGCGTCCTCTCCTCCAATCTCAACCCTTCTGGCTCAGGCAGCTCGTTTGAAACTTGCAGGGGGTGGTTCGAGCCCACTGGCTCTCAAGAAGCGCTTCCTCGGGGCGATAGCAGTCACGGTCACGGTCACGGTCCCAGCAGCGGCGCGGAGTCTCGTGAGCCAACTAGAGTTGGGGTGAAGCCTCTGGACACTCGGGATCTGCAGAAGGTGCACCCCAGGGGCTCAGTGTTTCCAGTCCACCGTGATCTGCACCTGCAACGTCCCAGCCAGGCCTGTGTCTTCACAAAGCCTCCGAGACCCGCTCAGGGCGTCCTCCCCTCCAATCTCAACTCTCTGGCTCAGGCAGCTCGTTTGAAACTTGCAGGGGGTGCCCATGACATTGCTGTTAGAGTGTGTGTGTGTGTGTGTGCACACGTGCATGCACGCCCGGCGCACACAGGAATAAGAGCTAACATTGCTGCGAGCTTTCTTTAAGGCACATATATATGTGCATGCAATATACATGGCACATGCTCCATCTCCCCAGCTAAACAGTTAACTCCTTGTGGGCAGGGGCTGAGTGCTGAACTTGGTTCTATGCCGCGCACACAGGAATAAGAGCTAACATTGCTGGGAGCTTTCTTTAAGGCACATATATATGCACTATATATGTGCATGCAATATACATGGCACATGCTCCACCTCTCCAGCTAAACAGTTAACTCCTGTGGGCAGGGGCTGAGTGCTGAACTTGGTTCTATGCCCCCACGGAAGCCTGGGAAGGTGCTGGGCGCTTAGTAAACAATAAATATTTCTTAGCTGCCAACAGTCCCCGAGAAATGAGTAGAAGTCATTTTGGAAGGCGCGCTGAGTGAAACGATGTGGGAATCGGATTCACTGGTCAGCAGTTGACCTCCTGCTGTACTGTGTGCCCAGTCTGGGTTGCCACGAATTCATTAGTGTGTCGTGGGCAGAAAAGCATGCGGCCGGGAGTCCGGGGCCAGAATCTCATCCCACCTGTGATGACGGGTCAGCGTGGCGCCCGGGACGAGTCTCTTCCCCTTCCCGGGCCTTCCTCTCCTCAAAAAAAGGAATCGACCAGCTGTCTGCCAGCCCTCCGACATGGCTAGATGACTCTATTCTACAAGGGCACGCACTTCCTATTTGTGACACAAACCCCCACAGAAAACAAAATCATCAATAAGTTATGGGGAAAACTGGGTGCCGTGATCATTTGCACTGTCTAAGGGGGCTCGGTGCAATCAATTCCCCCTGTACACGCTGCCTCTCCGGGGCGACAGAAGATTCCAGGCTGTCAGGGAGCAAAGCAAGCCGTCTCTCCCGGAACTGGAGTGACAGGCATCGCTGAGCTGCGGGGTGCGTGTGCGCTGACAGGCCCTGCGCGATGGAAGGCGACTGCGGTGGTGGGTGTTGAGGTGCAGAACTCTGGGGAGGGGAGAGGCAAGCCCGGAGAGTCGCCTGGGCGGGAGAACTGGCTAACAGCACATCACTTTAGACAACAGAGCAGAAGCTCTTTCTGACGGGAAATATTTCCGTGTTTTGGGGACCACGTGAAACACCCGCTTGGATAAGCCAGTTCTGCTAATAACCTGGCTGGCTTGGTTTTAAATGAGGCAGAGCCTTGTCGAGCACTTGGAGATGCAATGCGGGCGTGGGCGTCTGAGGTTCTCCCTTTTCGCCTGGTTACTGGGCATCTTGCAGGCCTGTTCTTTTTCTTTCTTTTTTTAACCCTCACCTGAGAATATTTTCCCATTGATTTTTAGAGAGAGTGGAAAAGAGACGGAAAGACAGAGAGAAATATTGATGTGAGAGAGACACATTGATTGGCTGTCTCCTGCGTGCGCCCTGACCAGGGCCCGGGCCAGGGAGGGGGGCTGCAACTGAGGTACGTGCCCTTGACCGGAATCAAACCCGCAGGCCCACGCTCTATCCACTGGGCCAAACCGGCCAGGGCCTGCAGGCCTGTTCTTGACAGACTGATGTACATCGTCCTGGTAAACTCGGAGCCTGTGAAACAGCAGCGCTGGTTTGATCAGGTGGCGTGTGTGTGAAATGAAAGCAAGCCTGGTCCTGTTCACCGGAGAACACAGCCCGGGCAACAGCCCCGGAGGGTGGCGTGAGTGCCGAACCTCAGGGGCTGTATCCTTCCATATAGACGCGGCCTTCAGGTTCAGACTTGGAACCAAAATACGCTCACACCCTGCGTGCCACTATGAGGGGCCACCAGCCAGGCTCCACAATCCTGAGTACTTTCAATCTTCTTCTTTTCTTGAAAGTCAAAACCCCAAAGCTTGTTTGTAATTTAAATTTGTATATAGGAAGCTGTTTGGAGTGGTGATCATGCTGAGCCTGGAGCCGGAACGCGGCTTCTACCGCAGGCTCCGCGCTGCCAGCACCGGGCGGAGTCGCCGCAGTGGCCGGGGTGCCATCTGCAAGAGGGGCAGCAAAGGTCGCAGCCAGGGCTCCTTCTCCCCCTCAGGCCTCCCAGCTTACGTGGGCCTGGCTTGGGCGGAGAGTCCCGAGGCGCGGTTAGCACTGGAGTGTGGACATCATCACAACTGCGGCAGGAAGTACCCACAGCCCATCAGGAACTGGGGGAGGAAGGAGAAGGGAAGGCCCGCTGGCTCCGGCCGCCCTGGCTGGGGAGGAGCCGGGCGCAGTGAGAGGGCACACAGTCTGCCCCTCCCCCACCCACCCCCAC